ATTATTGAAAATATTAACTGAATCTTTTAAATTAGTAAAAAAGTAAACTTTTAACTCCAAAAAGGAGGTTGCACTTTATTTCTTAGTTTTTATTTTATGTGTGTGTGCTTTTGTTTAAAGACTTTAATTTTTTTAGAGCAGTTTTAGGTTCACAGCAAAAGGAAAAGAAAGGTACAGAGATTTCCCGTATACATACACCTCCACCCCCCAATCAACATGCATATTCTCCCTCTTCATCAAATCACACACCAGAATGGAGCGTTTCTTACAACTGAGTAACCCACATTGACACATACCTATTAAAATCCATAGCTTACCTTGGGGTCTATTCTTGGTACTGTTGATTTGATGACTTTTAAACATTTTAAATGTGTTTAGAAAGAATAATCAAATATAATGTTATAAAGTAAACACTGGAAATTTTCAAAAAAGTATACATTTTGCTTGAGCTATATATCAAGGTTATTTTTGCATTGAGCTACTGTGGGCAATGAGGTAATGTTCCTGTAGACAAAGGATAGACATGAATCTGCTTACCATCAAAATGTGTTTCCCATACTCAATGATTCTTTCCTATGATGCAGTCCACTTTACATGCCTTCATCCATCTATGCCCACCTCTTCACACGCCTGGGACTTAGGAGGGTATGAAAAAATGATGTGAATATGAACTGCAGCAATTGTTTTTGCTCTGAATAATAATATCCTTTGTCACTTAACTACAAGTCTTGTGACTTCTGCCTTCATCCCTCAAACAGCAACAGGCTACCTTGCTGGTTGTTGGGTTGTTTCCTAAGAGTACTTTTATTATAATTTTGTAATTAAATGCATTAGGGTGACAATGCTTAATTAGATTATAGTCTTCTGCAAGACTCTAATGAGAGCATTTTTCACTTCTTTATTCCTCAGACTATAAATGAGTGGATTCAGCATGGGGATCACAATAGTATAAAATACGGAAGCCACTTGATCCTTCCCCAAAGAGTAGGATTTATGAGGTTTTAAATAAGTAAAAATTGTAGTGCCATAAAAGATGGTGACCCCTAGGAGATGGGAGGCACATGTAGAGAAGGCTTTTTGCTTTCCTGAAGTAGAAGTAATTTTCAACACAGTGGACAGAATTGACAGATAAGACACACATCTTG